CCATCGATCAGTAAACATTTAGTGGTAATTCTTAACTGTGTTTCTCAAAATGTACACAGTTTATACTCTATTATATAAACACATCCATATCAAGATATCAACGTTGCGAACTAATATTGCTTTGTGAACAACTTTTATATTTAATATAATTTTATAAATATTTACGTTTTGGACTGTAAATACCACTACTAAATTGATTATGCGACTGATTTAGTTGTATTTATTTTATCTCATGTTATTTATTTTTATGGTACGTTATCGAATTAAAGTAATAAAGAGGAATATTTTATTAATTTTGAAAATAATACTACTACTTATTAAGTATATATTTTTTTTAATCATATGAGTACATAAAATATATTTTACTGAAGTATGGAAAACAGTTTTTTGGTTTATTATTTTCAATACTTTTGTAATCGACCAAGAAAAAAAGTAGTTATCCTTCCCCCTCAAAATTTGACTTTTCACGTTTTAAAATCCGAAAATGGAATTTAAAAAAATCCGTTTGTCTGTTGCCCACATATACCGTACGCCACACAGTGGTTGAATGTCGGAAAAAAAAACTATTTTTTGAAGGTATTGAAAAAATTATTTTCTTTTCGTAAATCAAAAGTAGATTAGTTGCCTAAGATATTTCATTAATTCAATCAATGAATTGTTGATTTTTAACGTTGTACGAGTCTTCCAACACCGACCGAATCCATTGAATTACAACGAAAATTGTTCGACATTATTATTATTATTTACACTCACATTTTATATGTTTAGGTATGATTTCTTTTTATGAACATGAACAGCTATTCCAAACGATACACTGCGAGATAAAAAAATTACTTCTTCGTATTTTCAAGTCCACAATATTATTTTGAAAAATCTGGTGCGCGCAACACACAATATTCACTTACCGATCTACTGTGAATAGAAATTATTTTCTGGCAATGCTGGGCTATTATAAATTTTTTTTAAGTGCATTTTAAATGGAGCTAAAGCCTAAAGCTTACAGATAACAAATCATTAAGACCATTATAGTTACAAAATGTCTATTTAATATATCGACAACAGGCAATAAAAATCTAGTCACTCCATCTGCTTTTATAAACCACACAACTTTCTTCGCTTTTATAAACTTCAGAATGACTAACTCCAATTTCAATATTTTTAAGTGATGTCATTTCAGTGATATTTTTAGTTGAAAAAGTTATCTATGCAGAATATGAGTAAGTTGATTCCGGAGGTGGTGATTGCAATGTTGAAATATAGAACTGAAAATAAAGGTATAAATTTAGGTACTTATTTCTTATGAAAAATGTTCTTAGGGAAGATACTTTATTAAATATCTGTAGAAAGAAGTTTTTTTTGGTCTCAACAATTAATAGAGTATATTTTAAAATTATCTAAATTTTCGCCTCTTTGGGGAAAAAACTAGAAACCATATCTTTCCTCCTAGTTGTCCGATCTTAACGATTTTTTTTTTTTTTTTTTTTTTTTTTAGGAAATGCCACAAACTTTTAAAAAACCATCAACAAAAAAAGTGTATACTTTTTGAGTTATTCGGAATTTAATTTTACATCGCTCGTAACTTTTTTTCCAGCTTCTTTTCGTTGAAGTATGTTATAATATAGATAAATTTAAAGGTTGTAGAGAAAATTACTTTAGCGAAGTTTCATTGAAATCGGTACATTCGTTTAGGCGCTGCAGTCTATAGCAACGCAGGTTTTTTTTGCATTTTTATTTCTACTTTATTAACTTATCAAATTCTTTGAAAAGTTATATTTAGCATTTTTTCATTACTTTAAATAATGTGAAATGATTAACTTTTTAAAATAAACCACATTTAAGGTACTTTAGAGGAAGACGTATATGAACATTGGGCATTTAAGCCCTGTAAAGTGACATCAATGGGGATAAGACCTAATTGATATTAAAGACCATTTAATTATACAATGAATCACCGAATTTATCGTCAGAGCCGTTTTTGAGAAAATTGTGAAAATGTGTTTCAAAAATCGTTAGAGCCGTTTTTGAGAAAATTGTGAAAATTTATTTCAGCGTTGATATAAAGTGGCACTTCCGGTGAGCTGATTTTAAGGAAAAAGTTGCCGTCACATATAAGGCATATACCTATTTTAAATACGTAATATCAGTTTCGTAGGACTTTTCGTTTTTGAACTAGACTGCTAACATACAAACACACAGACCATTTTTCGGGACTTGGTCATTTCGACTCAGGGTACCTCAAAACGTCTATTTCCATTGAAAACTCAGATTCAAAAATTTTCTCGATCGCAAATTTTATCGCAGCCGGCTGCAGGTCTAACATGTATTTGAACGATTGTTCACTATTTTATAGTCTTCATAGGACCTGTTAATTTTTTTTAAAGTGAAAACTTCTTGAGTTGCGTTTTGCACTTTTTTTTGGAGAGTGAATTAGATTGATCCGTCAGATTTTAACGTTCTGGTAAAGTCTGCTATTGACGACTAACTGAAATATTTTTACAACTGGTTCAAAATATCTCAGACACTAAAAATCGGGCCTGCATATTGTATATATGCGAGGAAATTGTTCAGCATTTCATCTTCTATGTAATATGCTATAATTCGAAATTGTATTTTAACACGACGCCATGTTAGGGAGACCAAAAGGAAAAAAATGTGTCGAAAACCAAATGATAACGAGGTTAGTTGAGTATATGGGTTAAAATATGTCAGATACTAAAAATCGGACCTGTATACTTAGTTCTGCCATAAGTACTGTTATAAAAGTTATACAATTGCCCCTATCAGGTTAGTTTCTTTACATGGATAATAATCCCAATTAGTTTGTATTTTTCTTTCGCTTCGTTGAAATGGAGTGGGGTGATAAAGAAAACCTAATATCTATGATCGCCTTACACAAACTTGGAAAATGTAGGTCAGAGATTTTTAACACTTTGTAATATCTAGGTATCAGCCATATGTTTGAGTACCGCAATATAAATAGATATAATGGGAACCTATCCGTATATGACAGACCTCAACCGGGCCATCCTCGCACTTTGAGAACGGCAAATGCAGTGGGAGCAGTGGCTACTCGAATCAGAAGAAATTCCATTCGAAAACAACAAATCATGTCTCGGGAAATGGGAATCTCTGTCAGATCAATGTCTCGCATAGTAAAAAGTGATCTTAAGATGGTTACATTTCGAAGAATAACATGACAAAGGCTAACCATTTCCCTAAAAAAAAAATATAGTGGATAGATGCAAAGTGTTCCTTGGTCGTTTCACCAATGGTCTTCATCGAAAGATTTTGTTCAGTGATAAGAAAATGTTCACAATTGAAGAAAAATATAATCGCTAAAATGATCATGTATTCGCACACAGCTAAAAAGAAGCCCATGAAGTCATTGGGAGAGTGGAAAGAGGTCTTCACTCTTCTTCAGTGATGGTTTGGTAGGAACTTTGCTTTGATGGCACAACAAAGCTCCATTTTTGTGAGAAAGGAGTCAAAATATGAATTATATTCGATATCAATCAATGGGGACTTTCGTGATAATGATATGAAGTTTAGATTGAAATAAATTTCATATAATTGATAATATGTGAAAGAAGACATTAAATCTTATAAAAAGTTACCATAAACCATGGTCTGATTACATACACAAAACCAGGAAACTTCAATTTTGTAATTTTTATGGGGAATAAAAAGTAATGCGTTTTATGTGGAATAAAAAGTAATAACTAAAAAAATGTTTAATTTAGGTCACAACCAATCACTTCATAATAAACTAGATTAAATTTGTATTAAATTGAAGTTAATTTTGTCTTTTTTAAAACAATTTAAAGATGACTTTAAATTGCACCTAGCAGTTAAACTAGGGTAAGTTTGGATTTTCATAAAATCGAGTATTCTTCGCGATTTTTTTTTTATAACCTCCCAACAGGACTGAAGATACTATACTTTCGGAAAAACTTTCTTGACTAATGAGCTTTAAGTCTATTTTAATATTGCTCTGTACAATTGTTGCGATAAACCTCATAGTTTTTGAGATATTAATAAAAAATCAGTTCTCTGCCATTTCCCCCCCCCCTCTCACAATATCTTAACTCGACAAGGGAAGCTTTGAGATTTTTTTACCTGTAATTAAGGGGAGGGTAACACTTGCGGATCCAGGATTTAATTTTGGGGGTCTTCAGCCCGATAGATTTTTTTTTTTCATGTACATATAACGATAATTAATTTGAAAAAAAAGAAAGAAATTAACTACCTACATGAAATGGTGTTTAAGTGGTTCTTGAAGTCCTATTAAATGTAATTACACGAACAAGAATACTTTAAGAGATAGTTTATCATATTTTTTTCTGTAAAACATGTTTATATTTTAACATTTTGGGGGGGAGGAGCTTCAGTCCAAAGCCTCTCCCCGTAGATCCGCCTTTGGAGGGTAATGAACAATTTGTATTTTTTGTGGGGTTTTACTGTACAAATAGGTTGTATTTTTATAATAATATTCCAAATATGATGATTTTCGTACGGAAAGTTAAACTTTGATGTGTCAATATTTCAGAAACTATTGTTTTGATTTTCTTTAAACATGGAAAAATAGTGGGTATTGCTAAAAAAATGAAAATGTTCCTATTCTATTGTATTCCATCCTCTACTTTCTCTTAAATGTGCAAAAATAGTTTACTTGGCACGTCTATATTCCAAAAACTGCTCGTTCGATTTACCTCGAAATAGCAAGAAAGTTGGGGATTGATCAAGAAAATACATACCAATTTCAACAAATTTCAAAACTTTCAAAAAGTACTTCCACTTTCGAATTTCCAAACTTCTTTTTTCTCTCTTTGTGAATTGTAAGGAATTTGAAACCTTCCAAATTAACATATGTAAAAATAACCACAATTATTTTTTGTTAGCTGGACAAAAAGGGTACCCAAAATCTCATACAAATATTTAAAACTAAATTTACCATTTTTTATTATATTTTTATTAATGTCATTTTTATTTTATTTTTGCAGGTATTTTAAAACTATTGTTCACAACAACTAAGGCTATAACAGTCCGCAAGAATGGATGACTTTCTATACACTAGAAAGCTTTCAGAGGAAGATATAATAACATCGCTAGGTTTGCAGGAACGGAGCCCGAGGTTGAGATCGGTGAGGACGTTATCAGAGAGACTGCGGATAGCTCTATCTAGGAGCATGTTGGACAACTTTTGGGCCTTGATAAAAGCAGGAGCGGACATAAACGGAAGGGATCGACTCAGCAGGACTCCACTCCACTTGGTCATTTACTGGAGGAAGGAGCTGACCATTGTGAAGGCCGTTCTCTCCGCCGGCGCTGACCCCAACGCCATCGACCATCATGGCTTCACTCCGATCCATGCCGCCGTCCATTCCAATTCAAGTGCCGCCATCTTCAAGGCTCTAATCAGTGCCGGTGCCGACATCGACACGGTGGATTGTCAGGGGAAAACTCCGTTGATAAAATCCATTTACAGACAGGATAATATTTCCATTGTCCGGACCTTACTAGGAGCAGGTGCAAACGTCAATGCACCAAATCTCATGGTTGAGGCTGTTAAGGCCAAGGCCGATCAGGAAATTCTCAGATTGTTTTTGATGGCAGGTGCTTCAGTCAATGCCACTTATTGTGGACTTACCGCGATCTATTTTGCTGTCTTAAACGGCGATCCCATAATTGTTAAAATGCTGTTGGTAGCCGAAGCAAGTGTCGACTTTTTGCATCCTGAAACTCGAAGGACATTGCTTCATGAAGTTACTGTAGGAGAAATAGCACGAGAGCTTATCAAACGCGGAGTGTCTGTGAATGCAATGGACAACCACGGGGAGACTCCTTTGCACAAAGCAGTGGCCGGAGATCATATCGAAGTGGTCATGACTCTGATAAAAGCTGGTGCAAATGTACATGCCATTGAGAGTAGTAAAGGAAATAATTGTTTGCACATGGTGAGGTCCGCGGCCGTCATAAAGGCACTAGTTACGCGAGGAGTTGATATAAATGCACGAAACAGACGTGGAGAGACCCCCCTACAGACTCTAATTACAAATTGCAGTCTCTTATTGTCACCTTTAATGCGTGTTCGAGGTTTACATGTTCGTTATTTCAAGGATACAAATAGTATGCAGATGAACGAAAGTATTTATGCCGTAAAAGAAATGTTGAATCAAGGTGCCATCGTGAATACTTTTGATTACTATGACAAAACTATTTTAGAATCGGCTGTCACCCATGGGCACTCGAAAATGGTCGCATATATGATAAACCATGGTGTAGAGGTCGATTGGAGAAAATTATTCCGCTTGAATGTGATTAATCAAACCGCCTTACAACTATTGGTCAGGGAATCGATGATTGGAAACGTTGTCGTGAAAGGAAAAAAGCTATTTAATCATAGTCCCAGTGAAGAACCGTTTCTAAATTCGGTAAAACATTTGTTGTCCTACACGAAGCGATGTGTCGCCGAAATCGAACTTATGAAGGCGAAAAGGATCAACTGTTACAATACAATTTATCATTTTGTTGTAGAGATATCCCCTGAAATAAAAGCTTTGAGACTATGTTCTCATTATGAAGTGTCGGCTGAAGAATATTTGGCCATGTTTCCGATCTACAGAAATCACGTCGGGAGGAGGCTAAACCTATGCTACAAGAGAGGAATGATGCTCGATATTCTAGAGCTTGCGAACATGAGTGCACCCAGGATACAGGGCCCAGGAATGGTCAGTTTGATAAATGATTGCAAATTTGCTATCGCCAAGTTTCTTTCTAATGATGATCTATTCAACTGGTTAGTTGGGATGGGTTTTAACGTCACTGATAAAGGCTATGTTAAACCCAACCATTAGAATCTAAAGCTGCATATCTTTTTTAATTATTATGTGTTTATACATTTGAAATAATGTAAATGATTGTTGGTTGATTCTATCAAAATATTTAATTTTTATTTTATTCGTTGTCAAATTTAATGCAATTAATTCTGTAGTTGCATTAAATACTATTTATAAATTTATAAAAAATATTGTATATATTTTTTAATGTTATTTCTAACAAAGTCGTGTATTTTTATAAATAAGAATTTCACATTGCTATTTTCTTATTAGTAGCTTCATGTTTATAAGTTGTTCTAAAACTTGATTGTTTTTGAAATATTTATGATTGTTGCAGAACAACTTCTTGCAGTTGGATGCGCTTAAAAAAAAAAAAGTGTTAATAAATCCGTTGTTTCTAGAAAATAAAAAGCTAACTGTATAAAAATAATTTTCATTTTGATTTTTGTTATTCACATGAATAATTTTCTTATCAATGACGATATATTTTAAACTCGTAGCTCATTTGTTTTTCATTTTTCTTTCTTTCTTTTTTTTTAAATTGTCTTTAAGACTTTTGACCTATAGCTCCGCGACTTAAAAATTGGCTGAAACTGATTTGAAATTAATTTAGTCGATTTCGTCCAATTTTCAGGCACAGAGCTATTAGATATGTTTTTATTGAAATTGAACAAAATAAAGTAAATTACATGGAAAAATAATCGCATACGACATAATTATCTCTGTGAAGCTTTCTATGTTTCATAATTCTCATGTTTTTTTTTTGGTGCGGTTTGTGGTTATTTTTTTAAATTATTTATTTTTTGTTATCTTGGTCAACTCAACCGTGATGTAGCGGCTCAGATTAAGATAAATTAATTTATTCGTGTGTTTTCCTGCTCTAAATGCATCCGCCAACTAACTGCTTCAAGAATTAGTGCATTTTGTTTCGCAAATAAGAAAAAAGTGCATTTTTTAGTTCATTTCATGTTTTTCTTAGACTATGAAAGATTTATGCACATATTTTTAAAATTATTTGTAAAAATTACCTTTTATATCTTTGTTCAGTTTCACACATTCTCCATTATTCTGTGTTATACAACAATGATCGGTAAAGATTTTCATAAACAACATTTTGTAACATAGTTATATATCAAGATAAATTTGTCAATTTTGATGTAAATTATTTTTAGCATTTTAAGTCAAAAATTTTCCCAACTTGTTGTTAGACCTTGTTTTACCTAAATATAGCCGAGTATAATTAATACTTACAAACAATAAGACCTTTAATTTCTTCAGGTTTTTGAGCAATGGCTGAAAAGACTGCATATATTCTTAGAATGTAATCTATGAAAGTTCCTAATAATTAATTTTACAGGTTTGCATTTGTAAATGTATTAAAATTTGTTTGAAATTACACAATTACAGAATTGTTATAATTGTTGTTATAATTATTTATTCACTACTGTATCGTATTGAATACATTTTTTTGTGCATTAACAGTTAATGTTTCAAAGTAAACATAGTAGAAATAATTGTTTATTTTATTTCCTAAAATTGATACCATATTACACACGGTGTTTCAGGGTTAAGTGGCAAATTGAAAATATAAATTAAGGACTACAAAACAAGAAAAAAAATCCTATGAAGGTATGTCCGCAAACGCTTTGTTAAGGAGATATTCACACCTAAAGATTTTCATTGTTATGAATTATTTACGTTATATTATGTAAAGAAAATTTATTTATTTGTTCCAACTACTTTATTAATTAAATGCAAACATTAAAGTAATTAATGCAATTCATGTTAAATGTTGTTCAAAGTGATTTCCTTGAGCATTAAGTTTGGCTCGGCATCTTTCTTCAACAGCAGCAGAGGTAGAACGGCACTGGATATGTGTTATTGCTTCACAAGATTCAATTATCCTTCTTCGTAATGAATTAAGGTCAATGACCGGACTTGCTTAGACTTTTTGTTTAATGTCACCCCAAACAAAAAAAATCCAGTGATGTCAGGTCTAGAGAACGTGCAGGCCAAGCCACTAGTCCTGCACGGAAAATCCATTGATTGGGATAATTAACATTTAGCCATTGTCATAGACCTTTTTTGTAATGTGCACGATAACCATCTAATTGAAGCCACATGTTCCTTCTCAGTTGTAGTGGAATATGTTCAACTAAATCATAGTAATCATTATTAAGGAATTCCAGAAATGTGCAGGAATTTTTTTTTTTTTTTTTTTTTTGAGGTCCTAACTTTATTTTTACAGTTTTGGCCACTTAACCCAGAAACATTCTATATAACTTCAAGGGATTTAATGGATATTTAGGTTGCTTTTTTTTCATTTATGAGCGAGCAGCAGCTTCAGTTTAAAGTTGAAAAATAACAAAGTCTAAACAAAAAAGTTTAACAAAAACTGCTTTTATTATTTTAAGTTAAATGACTGGCAAAATAATTATAGTGCAATATCATAATCCGATCGCTCCAAAAGTCCAAAGAGCAACAAAAAAATTTAAATGAATATTACTCAAATTTCCCTGCATACACTTGTCACGCTTACTGGTTATCATTTTTTAAGAATCCTTCGTACTCTTAAACTTAAAGAACAAAGATGAAATTTCTCCTTTGGTATTTGTATAACATTGGCATCAAACATACAGAGGAACTTTGTAACTCAAAACATGATATGAAAATACAATTATATGGAAACAAACTTAGGGCAGCCTAGTACTGAGGATCCTGAAAATGCATTTTTATTCTAATGCAGGGGTGTCCAAAAGTGGGTTTCATGGCGATAGGTGCTCCATCAAAATTTTTGAGGGGGCATATTTTGACGGGTTTTTGAACTTTTGAGGGGGAAAAATTTGGCGTTATGAATTTTCGGACTAAGGTAGAAGGATAAAAACAAGGATCAGGCCGCTGCAAGTATAAATAGATATGATCTACGATTTTTCTAAATCTACCTTATCTTGCTCTGTTTTTAAGAAAAAGTGAGGAATAAATTTTAGGTGGCGAGGTAGGGTCTCGCCCCATGGACCTTGGGAGGGATGGGCATCCCTGATCTGATGATTATATTATGTAATGTACAATTAATAAGTTAACCAACAATAAGAAACAATATTTTAAAAAATATACTGAAAAAATTAAACTAATTAAATTGTGGTTTTATTCCAGAAAATAATTAAATTTGTCCTCCAAATAGTTACATCTCTAAGTAATAATATAGTTTAATGTTGTTATATTCCATTTAATTCAATGAAACAAAATGAACATGTTATTTGTGTAATGTATTAGTGTTCAACTTTACTATCCCAATATATTATCCATTTTTGACGCATTTTCTTACGTTGATAAACTGATTTTCATCACAACGATGTAAGTATAATTTTTTTTTTTTTTAACATTTTTTTATTTAAACAGTATTTTTTTATTTTCATCACACCTTCCTCCTATTCAAAAAGCAAATAATATAAAAATATTGTTTTTTGCAAAAACATGTTGGGGTGGGGTTTTATATAATTTTCGAAGAAGTCATCAAATTACATAAAATTGAAACAAAGGTTACTTAATTTCTTTTCTAAGATCCCATGGATGGGAGAATAATATCTGGAGAAACAAATGAGATGTAATTCACCAAAATATTAGAAAATGGTTATTTGTAATTCGAAAATAATTAACTGATATATTAATGGAAATAATGAAACTAACTGAAGTGAGGATATCATACAGTTAGAGGCGGCTTTTGACTACATACAACTAACGGATCCAAGATTTAATTTTGGAGGGACTTCAGACCAAAAGATTTTTTTTTTGTATGTATATCCATTTGTATGTATATCCGTACAATTCCTGTATGTATGTATAAATCCTGTATGATTTTATACTTTTAGCCGTTTGTCCGTCAGATACAACCGATTTCTTTCTTGCTCTACATTACTGGCAACTAATTAGCTTTATGATTATTATAAATTCAATCAATGCTCAGGTTTGTAGAAAAAAAAAAGGTTTCATTGTTTAAAAGAATATCTAGTAAGCTGATATTTTAATTAATAGATTATAATAGATCTGATAAACTTTGGTTATTAACTTTTTTCTCAAAATACAATATCGACCATTTTGAAATATTTACTGTCTTGTACCCAATAACAAGAGATACTTGATGATATACACTCGCGTTCCACGCAAGCTGAAAAAAATTATCTAAATCATTTTTTTTTTTTTTTTGGTGATACTGGATAATTGACGGTTAGAGGTGGTCCTCTTACAAACTTAAATTAAATAATGACTATCTCTTTCATCTACTTAATATTATTTTCTTTTTAACGCCGATAGTCTCTCATGCCTATTGTTATGTTGTCTTTCCTTCTTCCTGATGAAGGCCAAAACTTTAGGCCGAAAAGTCGGCAAAGATAAAAATAAATATCATTTATTCATTTTTGATTGAATATCCTGTAATTTGATTGTAAATGCCTTAGCCCGCTCGGCTATCCTGGCCCCCGTCTAGCATATTTTTTTTTTTTGGCTGTTTTTATTTTTCCGCTAAATCGGCACCTCTGGCGCCCCAATTTGAACTAAAATAGCTGAGAACTAAATTTGGTATATATAGTTTATTTCCAGGCAGAAAAATACCACTAAAGTTTGGATAAAACACGTACTAACGGTTTTTGGATTTTTTTGTCCTGCTTTAAAGTATTGCATATCTCTACAGATCGTACTAATAAAGTTGGAAAGTAGAAATTTTGCATGTATGTTTAGTTGGTATTCGAGGCTTGCCTTTCCGGAGTCTCATCATTTGAAGCCAAGACGGAGCATAGTGGGTTGTCCCAGTTTATCTAGCAAGACAAAAGTCAAAATATCGATAGTAATTTTTTTAATGAAAAATGGCATTAAACGTTTGTTTATACATCGGTGTAATCAGAAACAGAAGAATTAGTCAAACAAATCAAATAATATAAGTAAAATTTACGGCAAACATCGAAAATTGAGAGGCACTTTTAATAATAACGGGGGCTGGTTGTATCGCCAGAGTGAGCAATAATTGATGTTTGCACATTTCCGTTAAAATTTGTTCCCAAAAATTCGAGTTTAATTTTAATGCTGCATAGAAATAAACCTTCTTTAAATGTTAGAACTCAATTCATAGAAAGTTTCGGTTCAGTTATAAGTAATGTATTTGTAATTGCGTAGAAATTTGAATATATATATATATATATATATATATATATATATATATATATATATATGCTCAGTTACTGAAAGCCACATACTTTACATATATATTGTAGGTATACATACATACATATTGTAGGTATATACACCCATCTCAATTACGTAAGATTCCGTAGAAATTATTCACATAATATTTTTCATTTTAATTTGATAATATGAGACTAAAATAAAAATTGTTTAATGAAACAACATGTAATTGGTTAATAACTCAGTTATGTCGTGTTTTTTTCTCTGAATATTTTTGAAATAAATTAAGCCTTTAGAACCTTTTTAATAAATCTGTGAGAGAACTTAGATCGAGAATATAACATCTGGAACCTTGTATGGAGCAGCAGTGATGATGGCAGTGAGTTTGACGTATTTAGACATTTTCCATCATAATATTTTTTTAATGGTTTATCTTTTATTTATTTAATAATTTATTACTTAGATAAATAAATAATTAATTTTTTTTTTTCCTTTTTTTGTTTCCCTTCTTTTTCGCCTCTACCCTCAAGGGCCATTGGCGTTTTAATATGATTTATATTCTTTTGTGATATTGTATCAACTTCAAAAATTCAAATAAAGTATTGACTGTTTCTTCAGTATCTTGAAGGATTTCTTTTAATGTTCTGGCTAAGCCCGTTTTTCGTCTATAACTTTCAAATTTAGAACATTCTTCCAATAAGTGTTTTACTGTTTGTGGAACGTTATTACAGTTTTCACATGTGGGTGCTTCGAGACCTCTCAGAAGGTAGCCATGTGTAAACTGGCAGTGTCCTATCCTTAGTCGGCAAAGCATTACTTCTTCTCTCCTTGAACTTCTGCAGCTTGTGGTCCATTTGTCACAATTGGGTTTTATCTCTCTCATTTTGCATTCTTTCATTTCATATTCCCTCTTCCATTCTGTTTGTAGTCTTTTTTTTGCGTGGTGTAGCCAGTCTTTTAAGGTAATGTTCTTTAGTCTTATCTCCGCCGTTTCTTCTTCACTCCTTGCTAAATGGGCTGCTTGGTCAGCTTTTTCATTTCCTACAATGCCGCAGTGGGCTGGCACCCAAACGAACACTATTGACATTCCTTTGTTTTTCACTTCTCACCACACATTTAATATTTCTTTAATAATAGAATTGCTTGGCGGTGGGTTGTCGATAGCGGCTAACACACTCCATGAGTCAGTTACGACGACCCAGCACTTTTCCACAGAGTCTCTTATGAAATAAAGACTGTTCATGATGGCAGTCGCCTCTCCTGTAAAAATGGAGCATTCACCTGGCAGTTTAAATAGTAGTTGGTTCTCCTTATTTGTTACAGCGCACCCTACATTGTTTCCTTTCTTGGATGCATCTGTGTATATGAACTCAAAATTTGTATAACTTTCAGCCAGTTTTAAAAACGATTTCTGAATTTCAATCGGGTACGTTCTTGATATTTTGGCCATAGATCTATTTATCACTGGTCTACATTTTTCCCAATAAGGAATTCTTAATTCTGGGATTGGTCTAATAATGTTTGTGTCCATGTTTATTTTACTTAACGTTTTAAAAAATTTCTGTTTAAATGTGCTATTTTCGATATCTTTAAGTCCACATCTTTCTGATCCTTCTACAAAAAAATATGAAGTAAGAGGATGGTGTAAAGATGATTTCAATTTAGCGACATATTTAAGAGATAAATATTCTCGCCTCAAGTACAAGGACGGTTCTCTAGATTCGGCATAGATACTATCGATTGGGGAGGTTCGGAGTGCACCATTGCAGATTCTAACGGCTGAGTTAAGCACAGAATCTAATATTCTTAGCAATGTTTTACTGGCTGTTCCATATTACGCCATAGTCGATTTTAGTTCTCACTATATTTTTAATAGTCTGTCAATCGGCTTCCCAGCTGGAGTGTGAAATACATTTTAGAATTCCAAGCCTTTTCGTGCAGTCATCTCTCAAATTTCTAATATGTTTTATCCAGTTCATTATCTTGTCTATTGTTATTCCTAGATACCTATGTTCTTCTACATAATTAATTATAGAACCGTCTAGTGATATTTGTGTGTTGTACTGGTGGCACTTTCGTAGCCTACAAATGTGCAAACATTTAGATTTAGAGGCTGATATTTTAAATCCAGTTACTTTTGACCATTCTTTTATTTTATCCATAAGTTCTTGTAACTTCCATTGGATATAGGGTATAGACTTGCTACGGGCTGTGATTATTATATCGTCGGCAAATAGGAAACACTTAATCGGAGTCTTGATGCAAGACGATATACCATCAATTGCTAAAAGGAATAGAGTCGCACTGAGAGAAGATCCCTGCGGAGTACATTTTTGTAAGCTATGGCTTGAAGAAAAAGTATTTCCTACCCTTACTACGAATTCTCTATTGCATAAAAAATTTCTGATGTACGACCACATGTTTCCTACTATCCCCAGTTCCGCTATGATCTTCAAAACCCGCCCTCTTGCCATTGTATCGTAAGCTTTCTCGAGATCTAGAAATATTGTTATTAAGTGTTCCTTGCGTGAGAAAGCCTCCTGTGCTTCTAAGCTTAACGATTGTAGAGAGTCGATAGTTGAACGGTTTTTCCTGAAGCCGAATTGGTGTGGATAAAGGATCTGTCTAGTTTCTAGCGCATTACTTAGTCTTGTGTTTACCATTCTTTCCTGTATTTTCGAAACACATGAAAGTAAAGAAATGGGTCGAAAGTCTTTGGGAACGATGCTTATTTCTTTTTTTGGTATTGGTACGATGATAGATTTTCTCCAGTAGGAAGGAAATTTTCCATTTGTCCAGATTTCGTTATACATGTTTAACAGATATGTTTTCCCTGTCTCTGGTAATTGTTTAATGAATTCTCCTGGAATTTCATCTAGACCAGGCGATGATTTTCCTATACATTCATTAAGTGCAGAATTTAGTTCTTCGAGTCGAAATGGTCTACAGTATTCTTCAGAATAGTTTTGCCCTACATTACATTCTTGGTGTATTCCATCAGTATCTATTGTTTCAGATCTGGAGCTTGGAGAAGATACATTTTGGAAATGCTGCGCTAAAGCTTCAGCGATTTCTTCTGGATCAGTTATAATTCGTTCGTTAATATTCAGTCCTGAGATTACGTATTGCTTCCTTATTCCTTTGATGGCTCTGATTTTGTTCCATATGTCGTTCATTGGAGTTTGACAATTCATAGAAGATACGTATTGTCTCCACGATGCTTTTTTGCTCTGTTTAATAATTCTATTAGCAATGGATCTCAATAGCTTAAACTCTATTGCATCTTTAATAGATCTGCTTCTCCTATAACGATTAAGAGCTCGTTTCTTTGCTCTTATTGCTTCATCACAATTTTGATTCCACCATGGTACATTTTGATGTTTTTTACTACTTTTAGCAGTTGGGATAGTTTCTTTGGCTGCCTTAAGAACTACATCATTGAAATAAGATATTTTGTCATTCAAATTCAGGCCATATGGTATGTTTTTTAGTCCTTCCATAATCAATTTGCTATAACCTTCGCAATTTGCTTTTTCATATTTCCATCTGATGTTTAATGAAATATTGATACTTTTATCCCATGTTTCGATAACAATTGGGAAGTGGTCACTTCCGTATAAGTGACTTTTAGGACTCCAATATTTGACCTTAGTTGAGTACATAGCATCCGAAAAACTCAGATCTATTGCAGAGAAATTATTATTTTTTGCGCTGAAATGAGTGTTATCTCCTGAATTTAGTAGTACTGTTGAAGTGTTGTTTTCAAGAAATTTTGTGATGTTTTGCCTCTGTGATTTAAATCTGGAAGCATGGACCCCCATAAGGTGCTGTGTGCATTGAAGTCTCCTAGTAGGAGAAATGGTTTTGGTAGTTGTACTACAACTACTTCTTTCTATGTCTTCGTCAAAAAATGCCTGTGAAAATGGTAAGTGGATGTTGCAAACTGTCAATGGTTCCTTTAAGTGTATTTTCACAGCTAGTACTCCAAATTGGGTTTGTAATGGTAGTTCTTCACTATAAATGTTTTCCAAGACAACTGTGGCTACTCCTCCCCATGTTTTTCAGACTTTCTATCTTTTCTGTATATTTTATATCTCTGTAGTTTTACTGTTTGTTTATCGTTGAGATGGGTCTCTTGTAAGCAACAACAACTCGGGTTTTCTTCAGCCATTAGTTTTCTGAAGTATTCAATGTGTCGGTAGAAACCGTTACAATTCCATTGTATTATTTTTGTCATGTTTTATTTTTTGTTTTTTAATAACTGTGTTGCCTGTTGATATTTTCGAGGATTTTTTACAGGGTGTGTTCTTGACAAGATCATTTTCGTTCAATATTTTCAAAATTTTTGCTGTCCATATTTTGATGCCTTTATGTCCTATGCATCCTTTGATGTCTGTTAGCATCCTAATTAACCCTTCCCTGTCCATTGTGAATTGTTTTATAAGGTCTGTTGTTTGATGACAATGTTTCTATCTGAATTGTTTCGTACAATAGGCAAATTTCTTTGAATTGGAGAGGGTAATTGTTTTCCATAACCAAATCACGAATTGGTTCCAGTATATCTTTTGTGATCGGTTTTGTTTTTTGTTGTGGATTATTTTTTCCTTTGTACATAAATCAGTTACTTTTTTCTCTGGTGTTTTAGGAATGGCTTGTTTACCTGTTCTAAGGATTTGTATTGTTGGTTTACTTCTTGTGGTTTTCACTGTTGTTGATGAGCAGATTTTATTTTGATTTGGTTTAACACTGTTACTATCGTGGTTACTTTTTTCGTTGGATGTTGTGGGAGTTTCTTTTTCTGTTGCTTTAATTATAGGTAACTCGTTGTTTTGATTAACCGTGTTATTTTTTATAATTTCAGTTTCATTCGTAAGATTGATATGAACGTCAGTTGCCATGGGTTGGCGGGTTTGTAAACTATATCGTTTGTCATCTATATCGTCCGAGTCAGGGCAATTTGCAGCAAAGTGTCCTGGTTTTCTACAAATATAACAAAGTAAGATGTCCTCCGCTAAAAGATCCTGTGAGAAAGACCTTCGTTTTGAATTACAATCGATGTTTTTAAATGACTGATATCGTCCGGATTAATATAGATTTGTCGCCTAAAGCTCATAATGTTGCTCATTTTGGGATCCTGGTATCCTGCCTTTAAAAATGACATAGGTGAAAGTAATTTTATTCCCATTCTACCAAGTTCGTTTTCTATTATATTATTTGGAATGCTAGGGCATACATTTGATATTATGATGCGTTTTGCTGGATTTACTAACCGACGAATGGGAATTATGTAGTCATCTATGATAACTTCCTTATGCCTAGATAGTAGTTTATCTACCTGCTCCTTGTTGGACAGGTGAATACAAAAACGGTTATTTGAGATACGTGATGCAAACTTAATTGTATGAGATTCTACTAAGTCTGCAATTTTTTCCACGTATTGCTTCTGTTTAATACCCCTAATTGTTTGTAGAACAATGGCATACTCACGGCTTGATGGTTTCTGAGTTGATATTACTTGTGCGTAAGTTGGTTGACTTATTTGTTGCTCTTCTAGTGCTTGGGTTAGTAATTCTGCATTACTTGCTTCGGTATTTTTACTATTTTTTTTAAACGATTTCTCCACTTCTGTTACATCCTGTTCTGTCACCTCTCCATCCTTCATTTTTGCCGAGTTGCGCTTAGTAAACGCACACTCGGTTTATCTCTTTCGATTCGATTCCGGTGAAGCTTTTTATTACAGATATGGCTATGTCTCAGCTAACTGTCCAAAAATTTGTTCCCTTTTTATGCTTATAATCCGAATATCCGAAATTCAATTCCCTGAAATTATTTATAAACTTTCATGTAGAAATTGATCCAGCTGTTAAATTAATTATTTATAAATCTAAAAAATAAATAGCTTTTTTAGCAAACTTTTGTTTTTAGCATTTTCCTAATTTGTTTTTGTTGTCTTCCGGAGTGATATAAAAAAAGTTTTTATGAATACAAAATTTTGTTTAAATATTAAAGAGTACACATTTAATTGTGTTTTCTTTTCTAAGACATTTCCAACAAAAAAAAGATATAAAAATTGGACCATTTGTTATGATGTTTTGAATTTTGTACACATCGTCGGCAACATGTTAAAGTATCGAATGTGTAATTTTGGACAGGCTCACATTCGATACTTTAACATGGTGCCGACACGTTATTTCGGAAATTCGATCTTATTTTTTTTTTTGTTTTTTCATAGTATAAAACTATAAATCTACCGGAAGATTCTAGATGCTCCTTTGAGAATTATTCTAATTGAGTACATAGCTTAATAAAAGCAAAATATTTCTAAAACGAAATCTTCGACAACAAAATTGTCTACATATATGGTAAGGAATGTTGTTTAGGGATATTCCATATATATTTGATTTATAAATCTTTGAAAATAATAACAATTGTGTAATAATTTTGAACGCTTTAGAAGTTTAATTAATTGTCTCAGTTAAGGATTAATAAGAGGGAAATTGGACTGCTGGGACGTAACTCTGCTACTCACGCTTTTTTGTTTTTTTGCAGATTAACGGTAATATTACAAGATTAAAATAACATTGCTGCATTGTTATGGTATTTTGATAAATATAAGTACTTAAAAATTGGATAAGAAAGAAAAGTGAAGAACTCTTAAGTAACGCAAAACATGAAATCGAAATACTTGAATGTATGGAAGGTTATTCTACTCTGTATGCACACAAAAGATAACCGCTAATGTAGGGTTTTAGATAATAGTGGCTTAGATATCAGTCGAGGAGCTCTATACAACGATAGACCACGTCCCTACTACACCTCAACACCTTTTCATACACAGCAGAAATTACAAGGTAAGTCGAGATACTAATTGTTTGGATTTTTTATCTGTTTCTTGGTTTAGTATTTAATAATGCAGTATTTGAAATTAAGAGTAAATTAATCAGTAACATTCAAAATTTCTAATATACTAGTAGACCTCAGTGAGAACTCACATTAGAAAGCCATCCTAACGTATTCCACGTACAAGCAACACCAGTGAAACATTTGTATTGTTATATACAATCCATAACATGAATATCCCTCTATTATAATAATTAGCAAATAAGACAAAGATATATTTGAACTTATGCTTATCCATCATTGTACTTTCTTAAGTCTTATTTTGTGCGGAAGTGGTTTGTAGTTGTTTCACTGATTTAGACTATAAAACACTATTACTAAGATTATAAAAGCAATAGCAGGAAGTCATTTAGGTGCAATGGTTACCCTACTCGATTGCTTTGATGATAGCCTTGGAGCCAGGGTCCACAAATTAACCTTGTTGCAGGCGAAAGTTTGAATGTAAATTATGAAAGTGTATGTTATTCTAAGTAAAATGGACCTCTTCTGCCATTCCAGAGCCGTTGCTTTCAAAAATGGTGGCTTCAACGTTCAGAACCGGACACTCTGGGACCCATGTTCCAACTTTCTCGGTCCTTCCGTCCTCATAGTAACCATATCACCTAAGAAGTTTTCGGCTGTCCGTTCGAGGGACCTGTCCTCTTAAAAATCTTCGAAACAGTTCATCCTGTCTCGATTTATTGACTTTTGAAACAATTGAGTTTGGAAACCTCCCATTTTTTCAATGGTTGATGAGATCTACAATCCAGTACATAACAAATAAAGCTAATATAAAAGATTTTATTAATAATAATGAAAATATTAAATTTGGTTTGGTTCTATCAGGACCGATACTAGGAGTTTTTTTTTTTAGAGATAGTAAGTTTGATTTTCCTTCTCTTCGTACATTTCTCCAACCTCTCCTCTAAAAAAGTAAAACTTTCCAAACTTTAAAATTTCCAAATCCCCAATTAGCAAAATATATTATGAGGTATATTACGTAGGAGTTCTGAAACTAGGTTTTATTTTAAAGATTTTTGAGGTGGATTTTTCTGGAAGTTTCGAGGATTTTGAAAGGCGTTGGGGCTCGTCTTCTTTCTGAACTAATATTTTGCTATATACACTATATACAATCGTGAACGTCTATGTCACTTTCTCATGGTGTTTCTGCCATTGCACTGGCGTAGCTGCCGGCGTTAGAGTTCATATTAATGGATTTGGGAGGTATTTAAGTGAGCTCAGGAATTTAATGTGTCTCCTCCTGATAAATTACGGGATCATTGGGATACCCAGTATGTTAGTTCAATGATCCCGTTATTTTTCTATGTTTTTCTTCCTTCCATATCGTTGTTCTTTCTATCTTTTTAAGCATTGTGTTTTGAAGTTGTTGGAGTTGTCGATGTGTGATTTCGTTGAGAGGTGTAAAGAGAGGTAAAAAGACGCCCCTCAGAAGTTCTGGTCTTAATATGGCCTTGTACACCTGTCACTGAGCGAGAGGGCTGAGGATATATGAATAGTGATATATGAACACATTGACACCATATATACAGAAAACATAAAATTAACTAAAGTAAAATAATAACTAAATAATAATCAAAAACAATGTACAATAAAAAATAAAATCACCTAAAGATAAGAAAATTAAAAACATGAAAACACATTCATGCCTATATATAATATATACAATCAGACAGGGAATCCCAAGTCAGGCTTCTATCTCCAACTATAGAAGGAAAAGCAGGACTCCAAGAGATCCCTGCGCTACTCTCTCAACCAAGTCACTGGTGCTAAAGCCAGTGGAAATTGAGTGAGAGCGCTTTAGCCACATACACTCATGTCTTGAGCGGAGAATCTGGACATTGCCAGAACTCCAAGAGATAATAAAACATCTCTACGCCACTGCCGCTTCAACCTTCGAGGAGGATTGTAGGGATGAGTGGAACTAGACAGGGACAGGGGATGTGGATGATTTATAACTCTCTGATGGAATTTGGAAAAATTTTCAAGGATAAGGTCAAGGACAAATAGTATATTAAGGTCATGATGTAGGGTTTTGTTGATTACTTAGAACGGAGCATCGTTCGAAGGACTTTGGAGTGAAAGGATTGGATGCGTTTGATGTTAGAAAAGTTTACTGTCCCCCAAAGTTGAAGTCTGTATGTCCAAATATGTTTCAGGATTGTCAGTAATTTGTTGTCAATTAAAAGTTGAGATTTTCTAATCAATAGTCTGTATAATTTGACGTATCGTTCTTGTCTTTTAAGCCTAGTATGTGGGTTCTACGTTAGTCTTCAGTCTAAGAGAAAGCCAAGATACCGGACTGCGTCTGAAAAAGGAAGCTGGGTAGAATTAAAGTGGACTAGTTGACAGGATCTGCGCCGAAACGTGAAGGTAATGTGTTTGCATTTAGATTCGTTTACTTTGATGCGCCATTTATTACACCAGTGCTCAATCAGAGAGGGTTGTATTTGCCGATTTAAAGATACTATTTCGGGATCTGAGTTGGATGATAAGCTGGCGGTGTCATCAGCAAATTTTGCCAGAAAGTTATCGGGATGGGTATGGATATCAGCAGTAAAAAGGATATAAAGGACGGGGCCCAAGACGCTACCTTGAGGAACACCGGCTTCAACTGGGTAGGAATTAGAAAATTCTTTACCACAGCGAACTCAAATGGAGCGAAGAGAGAGATAGGAGCGGAGGGTTAGGTACAGGGACTGGGATAGATGGGTTTTCAGCTTGGAAAAAAGCCCGGCGTGCCATACTCGGTCAAAAGCTTGAGCTATGTCCAGAAATGCGCCAGAGCAATATTGCTTGCTTTCCTGTGCCTCGGAAATATGATCGACCACTCTTTTTGGACTGTGGAGTGTTGTGAACAAAATTCGAACTGATGGGAAGGAAGATTTTGGGATTCTATAAAGGGTAGGATTCGTTTCAGGAGGATCTTTTCAAAGATTTTTGAGAGGACTGAAAGTAGGCTAATTGGTCTGTAGGATGTCGAGGTGTTGGGAGGTATGCATCATTTTGGAAACAGGATGATGGTGAAATGTTTCCACAACAGAGGAAAGTTGGTGGTTCTTAGGATGGTATTCTATAAGTAAGTGAGAAATATAACAGCTTTTGAAGGAAGTTGTCGAAGGATTTGAGAGGTAAGGAGGTCATATCCAGAAGATTTACGGAGATGCAGTTTTTGTAAGTGATGTTTGACCTCAGAAAGATTAACTGATTCAGGGGGTAAGGAAAGTCTAATGGGTGATGTATGGAGTTCTTCTACTGTTGTGGTATGGGTGAGGTTGGATTCCAGATGAGAGGTGAATGTTCAGGAGAGGTGTCTGGCGAATTCCTCACCTTTGTCTTCATCAGACGCTGCCCAGGAGTCATCGCATCGACGGAGAGGATGGGAAATATGATGGGATTTTAGGATTTTGTTGGTGAATTTCCATAGAGGATTGTCATGAACAGAGAGGGAAGTAAGGCAGGAGTTGAAGGATTGGGATTTAAAGCTGACCAATTCCTGCTTCAATCGTTTACTATAATAATTATAAGACCCGCGATCGGTGGGGTGTCTTGAACGTTGCCATAATATTCTGGCACTCCGTTTGATGTGAATTAGGTGAAGCAGGTATTGAGGTAAATTATTTTTCTTACGAATTTTTGAGGAGAGATTTGGGGAGTATGCAGTCCAGATTGCTTGCTGAATAGTGGTGGTAAAGGAATGTACGGCATTATCGGAATCTTCTGGATTTTTCAGGGTTATTCTGAGATAAATTTTGTCGGAAAGAATTTGATGAAATAGTTTCCAGTTAACTGGGCCTCTGATGAAGAAGGGTGGAGGGGGTTCAGGAATAGGAGCTATTGATAATTGAAGTATTAATGGACTATGATCTGAGGAAAGGGAAGTCAAGTTGGGTAATGGAATGATTGAGGGGATCTAAACCACTGCGGATGAAAAAAATCAAGTATATCAGGATTGCGGTTAGGATCAGTGGGCCAGTAGGTTGGTTAGTTGGGTGGAAGGTTGAAACGTTGGGAATCGAGTGCATACAGCAATATTCTGCCACGAGAATTCGTGGTTCTTGAACCCCCTTCTCGATTCATGGCATTTAAGTCTCCACCCAGGATGAAATGATGACCTAAGGAGTTGAGGAGAGAACTGAGCTGGACTTTGGATATGGATCTGTTAGTGGGGCAATATGCTGATGCAAGGTGACCTGAAAGGAGAAGGTTTTGATTACAATACAGGTTGATTGTAGGAAATATTGATTAGGTAATGGGAGTAATTGGTGAGATGGGGATTAGTGTACGATGACAGAAGTCCCGGCATGTGCTCTACCGTCAGGATGGTCAGTACGGAATGTTATGCACTGTGGAATTTTTAAATGCTGTTTTCTGGTCAGTCGAGTTTCTGTAATTAGGGCTACGTCAATGTTCTTGACTAGTAGTAAAGCTGTTAGTTCGTCAACGTGATTTCTTACACCATTCGCATTCAAAAGGAGAATAAATATGAGAGGGGTATATAGGATCTATACAGATATAGATATAGAAGGGATGAAGTGAAATACGAGATTTGTAAGGCGTGATATTAGTGAAGTAACAATTGATTTGAATTCAATGAGGAATGATGACAACCAACTGGTGAGATCTGTGGCATTTGTGGGAGGAGGAATACGAGAAATTTCAGGATGTTGATGGTGAGGTATGTTAGGATAAACAGGATATTGACTTTGGGGTTGAGGTAGTTGATTGAGGCAGGGCTTCACATTTATGAGTTGGGTTCTTACCTACAAATAGTTCGGAAAACGATACATTATTATTAATAATTATAGAAGGTTCTCTTCTTAGCCTGATTGTCTCATCTTGAATTCGGTTCTTCAGGTATCTGGATTTTAGGTTCTTATAAGTTTCGTAACCTTTGTTGTTGGTTTGGTGTCCTGTAGGCATAGGGCACAAGCTGCAAGATCTTGTTGGTTTG